AAGATACCCCCTCTCTACTAATTACCACTGAGATTAGTATATGAAATTAGTAATTACCTCTTCAGCATATGCTTTTTGGAGTGACATAGTCCAGCCCATAACAGCTGCTTTCCCATTATCACAGCAAAATTGAATCAATGCAGCTGAGGTCAAGCGTGGCGCAGTCTAGAAGCATTATCAGTCGGCCGCCTACAGAAAAACACTACTGATATCTATGGTAACTGAACATATTTTGATGTGGAATATTTTCAGGATGTATTCCTAAAAGTGTTTACTCTTATTTTTTATAATAATGCAGTTATTTCGCTTACTTTGTTCACTAAAAAGCATTATTTGAGAGCATATACATCATGGAAGCATTAAATTCAGCTTGTCCGTTTTTGCATTTTTTCTTTCTTTTATTATATTTTTGACAATCTTTCCATAGTTAATTAGGGTAAAAAGGTTCAAGGGCTACAGGAAAGTGGGTAAGACTATTATTTCCATATTGTTTCCTTCTGTTTTTGCATTGTAATACCAGGAATTAATAAAGACAGATAGCCAAATTAATTAGGATCAAAATCAGCATGTCAAAAAGGCTTATAAATAAATGAATGCTTGGTGGACATATATCTGCTTTTATTCAAATTTGCTATGAAGTTATTTGGTTGCAAAAAAAAAAAACGTTGAATTTACTTCATCAGTAGAAATCTCCTTCGTATGGGAGGGGAGGCTTCTGCTGCCTCAGTGTGCCTTGTGCTGCTGGATTTTGCTATACTTCTCTGTGATAGTGCGATGGGAACTGGATGTCCTGTCAAAATAAGGGTCTATAACTGATGACTACGGTAATAAGGAAGAAGGCAGGTAATGTATCTTCTTAGCAATTTTAAAGGCAATAGGTTAAGTTTAGTCAACATTCAGAAACAAAAGCTTCTAATAAAAGAAGTACTAAGTTCTCTGTGTAAACACTAACCAGGAAGCCTGAAGGTGCTCGCCTTGCTGGGGTGAGGGTGGGGCACGCCGAGTGTTTCAAGTGAGGATTACAGAATAATATTTCTGGGGGAAGCGTACCTACTGTGAAAATATCTGTACGTGAATAGAAAAAAAAGGGCAAAGAATGTACATTACAATATTGATATTAGCAGCAGTGACCTCTGAAGACTGATATTATGAGGAATTTTTGCTTTCTCTTTTCATTTATTTTCTAATTTTTTAAAGTTGTGAGCATGTATTATTTTGTGATTATAAAGCCACAGCTGTATTCCAGAATGACGTTTTTAAAACTACACTGTGGTGGAAATGAGTTTCCATTCAGCATCTGTTCCAGCTTCTTTCAAATGCGGAAGAATTATTTCCTCCCTTCTTGTATTACTGAGCCTGGAAGATGATATCCTTGTTGCCTGGACTCCCTTGAAGCTAAGGAACTGTATGCAAATTAGAATCTATCAGTAGGTTAACTTGATTGAGAAGGAGGCCACTCCTTGCCCTGCAGAGAGAGGGAGTGTGTGTGTGTGTGTGTGTGTGTGTGTGTGTGTAGTGTAACAGCAGGTGCTGCTGCTGTTGCAGCAGTTATGGTACCCACATCCAACATCACAGTGTGAAGCTTTACTCCCTGGCCTCCTCCCCTGACCCCAGCTTCCAGCTAACACAGACTTCTAGGGGCAGTTGCGATGGTGTCAATAGTTGGATTCCTGCCACCACATGGAAGGTGTGAATTCCTAGCTTCTGCTTTGGTCTCAGCCCAGCTCCAGCCATCACAGCCATTTGGATTGGAGCTCTCTTCCCATTCGTTTCCTGCCTTTCAAAGAGAATCAACAAGAACCAGGGTAGCTCTGGGCTGAGAGGGAGTTGAGGGCATGAATGGTAGACCTCATGAAAGGCCTAGAAACCAAAAGCAACCTTCTGAGATCTGGAGTTGCAGCCATCCCAGCAGGCCTCTGCTGTGGCATTGCCTGGTGTTCTGGGACTTGTTCTTGGATGCCTAGCTACTTTAGAACTGTCTAAATCACCTTACCCTAACAGAATTTATTGCTTCTGCTTCCTAAGACAGAATCCTGACATAAGGACTCAACGAACAGTTTAGGGGAAAGCTCTTCTAGAAGGAAAACAGAGTTTGCACAAGTCCTGTGAAAATCATTCAGAAGTAGCACTATTTCAACTTGCCTGCAATCTGGCAGAATGGCAGAAGGAAGAGTGAAAAGAATTTGGCATAGCTCTGCCAAAGGTAAAAGACAACCAAAATGTGCATGTGAAAAGTAACAGGGTCACAGAGTCCCTCGCTTTTACTGACACGCAGATGTAATGTGACTTCAACATTTCTTGAAAATGAGTCTTCTTCTCCATGAGCCTTCTTTCAATAGGATTTAGTGTTGGTAAGGAGTAGAGTTTCTGGGTTAAGTTTGACTGCTTGGAAGTGCTGACTTGACAGCAATAGCAGCTCCATTGTCAAATGTCACGTCTTCCTCTGTAACATCTGGGACACAGGGTTGGAAGGGCTCTCCGTGTCTACATGTTTCCCGTGTGAAGCAGGTAGGCCAGCCCACTGCCCAGACTCAGCTGCCGGGGCTCACTGCTGCAGGCTCACTGCTGGATTCTGGGACTCCCGTTCCTGCCTTTCATCACACATCCCTCTGTTCTGCGGCTTCCTTGGTTTCCTACAGGGCCTCTATCATCCACTGGACAGGGGCAGCCCTAGTCGGTCCCATTCTGGACCAAGCAGGACTTCCAGGTCCCTGGCTCTTAGCAGGCCCTCCCATATGGGCGCCGGTTCTAATCTCGGCAGCTCCACTTCACTTCCAGCTCCCTGCTTGTGGCCTGGGAAAGCAGTCGAGGACGGCCCAAAGCCTTGGTACCCTGCACCTGTGTGGTCTACCAGAAAGAAGTTCCTGGCTCCTGGCTTCAGATTGGCATAGCATCAGCCATTGCGCTCACTTGGGGAGTGAATCATCGGACGGAAGATCTTCCTCTCTGTCTCTCCTCTTCTCTCTGCATATCTGACTTTCCAATAAATAAATAAATCTTAAAAAAAAAAAAAAAAAAGCATATCCAGCCAGCATCTGGCCCAGACTGTCACCACAGAGCAAGGGGAGCAAGGCTGGGGTATCGACAACTGTCCTCTGCTTCTCCACCGAGGTCATTTTCATGTCTTCCTTTCAATTAGGAGGTTTTTAATAGGCAGAACTCCACACAAAATGGGCCTCCAAGAGATAAATTAATTATCAATGAATAAATTTCAAAGACCTTATTCCTTCTGTGCTAATAAAATCTACTCTTGGGTCTGATGCTGCAGGCTAACAGAGCAACCACCTGCAACATTCACACGCCACGTGGGTTTGCGTCCTGGCTGCTCCTCTTCTGATCCAGCTCCTGGTTAATGGTCTGGGAAACACAGTAAATGGTGAGTGGGTCTCCCTTGTGCGAGACCTGAATGAAGTTCCTGGTTTGTGGAACTATCCGAGGAGAGAACCAGCAGATGGAAGACCTCTGAGTCTATCTCCCCACCCCCGTTCTAACTCTTTCAAATAAATGTATCTTCGAAAATGATATATACTTATGTGGCGTTGCGGAAATTATGCCCAACTGCCCTGCGTTGGTTCCTTTCTGCTAAGACTTATTGGGAAGAAAGACATTCCACAGATCAGTACCAGATATCCTGCTTTTTAAAAAAGGAGCAAAATGAATGAGAAGCCCATCAGGTCTGGCTGGTGTTTCCATTAGAGAGATGACCTCTTAATCTCTAAGTCAGTCTGTCTTTGCCCAAAAATCTCTGGTGAGAAAGGGCAGAACTTTGGTTGGCAGTATCGCAGGAAGCAGAGTGGAGGCAAGAGCTCTGCTTTGGAGCAAAATTCATGTTATAAGAAGATTGATCAGCTCAGACCAATGTCTCTCTCCTTCTGTTTTTTCCCCTTATTATAAATGTATTTTGGTTTAAAAATCCAGATAATTGAACCGTGGTCACTAGGCATTTTGAGACTTCTATAGACAGTGGAGAGAAGTCTGATCATGTAGACTACTCTCTTGATTTCAACATACCTGTTGTGGTGAAAGAGAAAGGGGGGTTGTACAGAGAACACACGGAAAATGCAAGATTCCCTATCGATCCACAGTATCTTGCATGGTATGCTGCCCAGGGAGTAGAAATCAAGTGAGGGCATCCTGAAAACTGGTAGTAAAAAAAAAAGAAAGTCTTTTAAGAAGAGGTGTTTGGGATCTGATTCCGTGGAAAGGGGTTAGATGTGAGTGACAGGAATAGGACCACCCATGTTTTCCTTCATGCAAAGAATAGTCAGATCATGTATGAGATGTGCCAAGTGGAAGAGAAAACAGACTGGGCTCCTAGATCCGGAGGCGGATGGGGGGGAGTCTGTGTAAAATCGTTTGCCATTACCATGGCTAAATACTTGAGAAATCGGCTAACCTAGCTCACCATTTTGGAAGGTGAAAATCCAGGAATCAGTAGTGCTGTTAAGTCAGTAATGACCTCTTGGTCCACGGCATCTTGCTGGAAGCACATGTAAGAGAGACCACATGGTGGGATAGGAAGCCTGACAATGGGAAGAGCCTAGTCTTGCTCTTGTATAATAACCTGTGCTCATGGGAACTAATAGGGATCCCAGAGAACTATGTTAATCCATTATGAGGGCAGCACCCAAACAACCCAAAACAACCCCCCCTTGGTGTCATTTCTTAAAAGCTCAGTTTTCTCGCTCTAAGGACCAGATCTTTGGCATATGAACTTCTAGAGGACAAATGATAGCCCCATCAGAGTAGAGGTCATCTGGTAAGAAGTGCACATGTGACAATGTGCAGCTCTTGGCAGAGGAGGGCAAATGGTCATGAGGAGATAGATAGGAGGTGGTTCAATGGCTGAGTCATAATGAAAAAGCTGAAGCTGGGAGCTGCTGTGGAGATTATATGGGTTCATGTTGTCCAGGTTGGACAGGACATATGGCAAAAACATAGCCTAATGTTGTAACTCAGATGGTAGGCCTAGAATCCAACCCCATCCTTGTATTGTGCCCATGAGTGAGCTACACCAGTTCTCCAAGGCTCAATTTTCTCCTTCGTAAGGCGATGATCATAATGGGACTTACCTCAGTGGTTTGCTGTGCCTATGAAGGTGTCTCCATAGCCTCAGGCACACTGTGATCCCCAGAGTCAAAGCTGTTGTGATATCAGCATTGGGAGAACCAGTGGGGAACGCCAATTATAAAGTGCTATTGAAATATGAATTGTTACTCCTATTCTGATGTGAGGTTGCGCAGACTGGAAAACACTGGAGCCTACAGTCTTCTACTGGAGGCGTCTACCCAGGACCAGGAGTCACTATAGACAAGGAAGCAGAAATGGACAGTATTCGACCTGGAGCCTCAAAAGAATCAAAAATGAGGCTGGGCAATCCAGAAGAAACAAGCGAAGGTGGCACCAACGGTAAGGGAGGGAAGGGAAAGCATTGTCTGAGGGGTTTACATGGAGTAGGTGACAGGGTTGAACCAAGCAGAGGAAGTAGTAAAGGTTACCTGTGCCCACACACTGCTTGGTCTTCTGTTGAGTTGATTTGTTTAAATGAAGACATCATCCATCAGTCTTCATTCACCATCCCCAAGAATGGCATCAGGATTCTTTGGAGTACGTGATCTGAACTAATTTTTTTTTGCGGGGGCGGGGGGTTCTTTTTGCTTTTTTTTTTTTTTAGATACTTTTTAAATTTACTGTTTTGTCTTGTCCAGTAATGTGACTTCTCTGATTGTTGATTTTGTGAACACAGCCCCGGCCAAAGGGAAAGTGTTTGATTCTTTGGTAAACAACACACTCAGCAAACTCAAAGAGGAGCCTGCGGTCCTCCAGCAGAGCCAGCGCAGTGATGACCTTCCCAGCTCTTCAGCAGATATCATCCAATCCAAGCAAAGCAGTGCTCCCAAGCCCGTAGCAAAACCCATCCAGTCCAAGCAGGGTGATAATCCCAAGCTCCTGACTAAACCACTCATGCCCAAGCAGGGAGGGAGCCCCAAGCCCTCAGTAAAAGCCATCCAGCTCAAGCGAGATGACAGCCCCAAGCCCTCAGTGAAACCCACCCAGCTCAAGCAAGATGACAGCTCCAAGCCCTCAGTGAAACCCGCCCAGCTCAAGCAAGATGACAGCTCCAAGCCCTCAGCGAAACCCGCCCAGTTCAGGGTGGGCAACAGCTCCAATCCCTTACCAAAATCCATCCAGCCTAAAGAAGATGACATTCCCAAACTGTCAACAAAAGCCATCCAACCCAAGGAAAGTGACATTCCCAAACTGCCCACAAGACCCATCCAACCCAAGGAAAGTGACATTCCCAAACTGCCTACAAGAGCCATCCAGCCCAAGGAAAGTGACATTCCCAAACTGTCAACAAGACCCATCCAGCCCAAAGACAGTGATGTTCCCAAACTGCCTACAAGACCCATCCCGCCCAAGGAAAGTGACATTCCCAAACTGTCAACAAGACCCATCCAGCCCGGGGAAAGTGACATCCCCATACTGCCTACAAGACCCATTCAGTCTGGGGAAAATAGCATCCCTATGCTCTCAACAAAACCCATTCCCACCAAGGAAGACGCCATCTCCAAATCCTCTGTAGAAGCCGTGCCACCAAAGGAGGGAGCCATCCCCAAGTCCTCAGAGGAAACCACCTACTCCAAGCAAAGAGCCACTCCTGAGTCTTCAAAAGAAAGCATCCGCTCCAAAGAGGAGGCCAACCCCAAGATCTTAGAAGAAGGTATCTCTGCCAAGGTAGGAGCCATGGGTAAGCCTTCAGGAGAAATCAAAGAAGGGACGACCTTGAAGCTCTCCAAAGAAGGCATTCCCTCCAAGGAAGGCATTCCCTCCAAAGAAGGCATCCCCTCCCAGGAAGGCACTTCCCCCAAGCTCTCCAAAAAAGGCATCCCCTCCAAGGAAGGCATCCCCTCCAAAGAAGGCATCACCCCTGGGGTCTCAAAAGAAGGCATCCCCTCCAAGGAAGGCATCCCCTCCCAGGAAGGCATCCCCTCCAAAGAAGGCATCCCCTCCAAAGAAGGCATCACCCCCGGGGTCTCAAAAGAAGGCATCCCCTCCCAGGAAGGCACCAACTCGGAGCCTCCAGCTGACACCATGGAGCCCAAGGAAGACACCACCCCCAAGTCCAGATCAGAACCTCGCCTCTTTCAGAAGCCGGCCACCTTCACTTTCTCAGAAGACAGCATCCAGCTGGAGGAGGAGAGTATCCTGAAGCTTCAGGAGGAGATAGAGACCATCCATGCCATCCATGCAGATCTGGTGAAAGTGATCCTGAGCAAAGAGGACTTTGAGGCCTCACTCAGGGAGGCTGGGGAAAGGCTGGTGGCTGTGGACTTCTCGGCTATGTGGTGCGGGCCATGCAGGGCCATTAGGCCGCGCTTCCATTCCCTGTCCCTGGAGCATGATGACGTGGTATTCCTCGAAGTGGACGCTGATGACTGTGAGGAGATCATAAAGGACTGTGAGGTCACTTGCCTCCCAACCTTTCAGTTTTATAAACAAGAAAAAAAGGTGGGCGAGTTTAGTGGTGCCCTTATAGAAAAACTTGAAGCCACCATTAATGAATTAAAGTAATTGTATCCTCTTTAAACACTGCAAAGAGTCAGCAGTTCAAAGCTTGTGGTTTTGTTTTGAATTGATTGAAAATATCAAGTATAACACAATTTGCATTTTCACTAAATGCAAATTAGAAATGTTCACTCTGTGAAAACTCAAAGCTGTAATGCACATGGTGACACATTTTCGTCACTTGAAGAGTGTGACCTTCAGGAATCTCTTTGGTGAAAATCAGAAGTCCTGCTGTCTTCTGATTTCCTGTTCTGACTTATTTTTATTTGCCCACAAAAATTTCATTCATTTAATGGTTGCACCAACATTAGGAATTTAGGTATTTCTTCTGTAGAAGTATATAATTCAAAACTTGAATGGGATAAAAATCCCTGGGGATTCTGCTAAGATACTTTTGGAAATAAAGAATTCGAAAGTCACATGTAACCCCTTGTGTGCCGGAAGTGCCAGTCAGCTGTTTCTCCCATGTGACGTGGTAGTGGCAGAGCTGAGACTCCAGCTGGATTTCTAGCTTTCAAGTCCAGGGTTCCTCCTACTAATCCATGCTCACAAAGCTTGAGGTTTCTCAGAGATTTAAGTCCGTGGGACCCTGGGTGCCATTATGACATCGGTGTCCTGGTGGCAAAATGCAGCCTTTGTTCCCCTGGTAACTGGGGGCCTGATAACCACTCCCGGTTGCCACCAAGCCCGAAGGTCAATGTCCGAATGATAGATGTTGACTTGGTCCAAAGTGCCTGTTTAAAAACAACAACAATAAAAATCCCAGCTTCATCGAGATTTAATTGATACACGATGAATTGCCCATTTCAAGTGGACAATTGAGTGGTCCATGTGTCTATTGCTGTGATACTGTCACAAGAAGTAATGGTCATATCGCTTGCTTCTAGAAGCTCCGATATGTCCCCATTGGTTTTTGTTCGTTTGTTTTGTTTTTTTGTTTTTTGTCTGCTAAGAAAAAGTTACAAGAGAGTTAGTTATATTCTTTTTTTTTTTTTTTAAGAATGTGTTTATGAGAAGGAGAAAGAGAAAGATGAAAATTCCTTTCCAGTGGTCAAGTCCCCCAAATTCCTCCAATGGCTGGGACTGGGCGGGGCTGAGTCCAGGAGCCAAGTCTCCCATATGGAAGACAGGAACAAGGGTGATCTGAGCTGTCCACATCCTCTCCCAGGCTCTACACTGGTAAGGAGCTAAAATCAGGAGTTGCAGGGGAAATTAAACCCAGGTTCTCCTGTGGGATTGTGACATCTAACCACAATCTGCCTTTTAAAAATATCTTTAAAGGTTTTTAAAGGTATGCTTGGTCACTGGAAGTCTTTAGGGGGTACAGTGTGACATTTCAGTGAATATATACTGTGTATGTCAATCAGATTGGGGTAACTGAGTAACCCATCAACTGAGACATGAATGATTTCTTTCAGGTTGAGAACATTCCAAATCTTGTTTACTAGCTAGTTGAGAACAGACAAGGTAACCATTGCGAGTTAATTATCTTCCAGTTCTGACACTGTTGTGGCATCATCTTTATTTACCCACCTGGATTCCCACACTTATCTCCCATTAAAGAATGGGCATTCCCCTGTCCCTTCTATGGTGGACTCACCCCGACTCTCCTTGCTGATACCCCAGTTACAGACCTCCTCTGCACCACTGACAAAATACTAATGAGCATGTGTAACATGACCTTTTTCTCCCAACCCCACCCCCCAAAATTGAAATGACCTGCCAAAAATGTTGATGATAAGACTAGTAAATGCTTTAGAGGCAGTCAGAACCAGAAAATGAGTAGTATGTTAGCTTTGAAAGATTTTTAAAGATATTTTTTTAAAGGCAGATTTACAGAGATATCTTCCATCCATTGGTCCATTTCCCAAAAGACTGCAATGGCTGGAGCTGGGACAAGATGGAGCCAGAAGTCCACAGGTTTCTCTGGGTCTCCCATGTTGAGTGTGTGACCCAAAGGCCTAAGCAGTCCCCGGCTGCTTTCCCAGACACATTAGCAGGGCATGGGATCAGAAGTGGAGAACCCCGCCTGCAGGCCCAGGTTGCTTTGTACCTAGCAAGTGTCACACTGCTGGGACAAAAGCAGCGAATAGCTGGTTGTCATTGTGGGCCTGGTTAAGGCCAAATTTGTGTTAACTATGCTAGTGTGCCAGCGTCAGTTGCTTATTCTCCTTCTAAAAAATGTGGGGAAGGTGGGAAATGCCAGGCTAGAGCACACACCACCCTGGCCCCTTGGCAGAGTGGAGGCTGCAGATTGCATAGGGAAAAGGTCTGGGAATGTATTTGGAGTGGGAGTGGCTGAGGACATGCTTGACAGGGGAGGAAAGCCTTCTGAATGCGTTCACGGACCAGGCCACTGCACTACAGCTAGGCAGAGGAGCTGAGACAGTGTTGTTTAGAGGGGGAAACCAAGGTACCTGCCCACATGGGAGACCTGGGCTGGGCTAAATAGTACTGGCCACTGCCTGCTGGCACATGCGAAAGCTGGGACTGGGTGCATGCCTGGCTGGGCTAGACTGGGGTAACTACCTGCAATTGTTAGAGCAGGGGGTGGGTCACATCAGGCTTGGCCACAGTACCCACCAGAACATGAAAGAACTGAAGCTGGGGCCAGATTCTATGGGGGAATGGTGGGCTCTCCTCTGTAGGACTGTAGCACCCATCAGTTTGCACTGAGGGTAGTAATGGGCCAAGCCAGGCTGGACCATGGAACTCATCTGATAAGAACCCATCTAATACTTGTGAGAGTCAGGGATGGGATGAGGCTGCACGTGGCCAGGCTGCAATACCCACTGACACAAGCAAAGGCCACGACTGAGGACAGGCCATGGCAAGCAGGGCTGTTGCACCTGCTGGCATACATAACATCCAGGGTTCAGAGCAGACCTGGTAGAAAAACTTGGGAAACTCCCTTGCAAGGCTGCATCTCTCTCTGGGGAACATAAGAGCTGCAGCTGAGTACAGGCCAGGCCAGACAAACAAAGCTGCAGTTCCAGTAAGCATGTGTGTATGACAGGTCTTGAGGGCAGGTCGACTGGACCAGGCAGCAGCACCCGCTGGCAGTCACTAGATCCAGGACAGGATGTTTGGGGGTGAGTCTCAGTGAAAGCTGAGACTGCAGGTAACCCATGCCAGGTTGGATCAAAGCACCTGTCAGCGCGTGTGAGACTCAGGGCGGAGAACAAGCCTGGTGGAGAAACTTCAGTGACACCCTTGCTAGACTACAGCTCCCATTGGTGGGTTCAAGAGCTGGGACTATTGGTGGATCAGCCACGGTATGGCTGAAGCACCCATCAGTGGGCTGGCTCTGGGGGCGGGCCAGACTGGGCTAAACTCCAACATCACTGTTGCTCACAAGAGGCAGAATGGGTGAGGGACAGGTCAGGCTAGACTGTGGCACCCACCAGTCAGAACCAGAATAGGTGCAGACAAATTGGGCTAGGTCGCAGTACCTGCTAGTGAATGCCCAGACTGGTAACCGCCATGTCAGTCTGGGCAGTAGCACCTGATGGTACATACAAGATCTGGGGCTAGGAGCAGAATGGTAGGGGAATTTGTAGAACTCTTTTGCTGGACCAGTGTTTCCACAGGTGAATGCGAGAGCTGGCGCTAGAGCCAGAACTGTTGGGCTAAGTTGCAACTCAGCTGGCAAGTGCCAGGACTGGGTACAACTCCTGTCAGGCTGGCTGCAATATTCCCTTACAGACATAAGATCTGGGGGTTGGAGCATGCCTGGCAGGGGAACTATGGACACTCTCCTGTTGGGTTATACCTCCCACTGGTGAGCACAAGAGGCAGAGCTGGGGATGGGCCAGGATGGTCATGGCAGTGGCACCTGTTGGCATACATGTGGGCTGGGCCTGGGGGTGGGTTGGCCTAAGCTAAGCCGGAGAACCAATGGGTGTGCCTGAGTTGAGTTAAGCCAGGCTAGGTTGCAGCAGAGTTTGGCACGTGCAAAAATTGGGGAGTAGGGGTAAGCCTTGTGAGGGTAATTTTGGATCACCCCAACTAGACCATGGGATTCACTGGTATGCATCAGGATTGGTTTGGGTTTATGGAGGGCTTGGCTTGGCTGGGCCACAGTACCTGTTGGTTTGCATGAGATATAGGGCTGGAGTGGAACTGATCAGGCAACTGCATCCACCAATATGTGTGTAAACGGCTGAACCTGAGTTTGCACTGGCTGGCGCACACAATGCTCAAGTCTAAAGTCACCCCAGTTGAGGTTTTTTGAGGGACTCCTCAACTAGACCACTGAACTCAGATCCTGGCCAAGCAGAATTACAAGATGTTTGGTTCAGCCTTGGAGTGCACGTGTCAGGACAGCGCTTCCTAAGTTGTTGATGCCTGTGCAGTGGTCAGCATGCCCAGATGTACACAGGGGACATGACAGCCAGCTCATCTAGGCCAGCAGGGGATGTCAACTGCCTCATCAGAGAATAGAGAGCAGAACAGGTTGGACAACTCTCCAGGCTAAGCTTCGTAACATGTTCCTGGGTCTGTGAATGCACTAAGGTGGATTTTGTCAACCAATAGACCTTGGCAGGATTTTCTCATCCCTGGAGCAATGAAACCAACAAGTTCTGTAACTATCAAAGCCACACAAGTAACACTCTGGGAGCACTCAGTGTCTCTAAGATGTCATCAAATGACCATCCCCTTCCCTCCTCTTCTGCAGGCACAGTAGAAAAAAGGAAATAAAAACTGAAACTTTTGTCACCCACCTTCCTCCATACCTGACCCTCATGGACTTGCATTCCCATCAACTATGTAAACAATTAAAAAAAAAAAAAAGGAAAAGAAGTGAAGCAGCTAGGATTTGAAGCAGAGCAACTGCAGGTAGAGGCTTAACTTACTAAGCTACCTGGGAGAGAAGGCACATTTAATAACACCTAGGTGTTTGACTCAAAATGTGCAACCTTCAGGATTTGCAACAGGAGTGACTGAAACTGAAATCCTGAGTGAGATTCCTCATTTGATCCCTGAGCTTTGAGATAGTGAACAACAGGTGAGGATGT